GCGGTTCCATGGGCGGTATGCGGAGCAGGCCGAGCTTCTCCATTCCGTAACAGTCTAGGGAGGAGGCACCCTGGATTGGGACCTTGTTGCTGAAGGGCCGGTCTCTCCACGAGACCGACACCTCATCCAACATCTCCGGGAAGACCGGAAGGAGTTGCCTCTTCGTCCGCGCTGCTTGCGGAAAATGTTTCCCTTCGTAGCGGGACCTGGAGGTCTCCTTGGCCATTTCAGGCCACGGGATGTCGAGTCTGGCTGCGGCGCGTTTACACACGGCCTGCAGGTCCATGCTCAGACAGGGCGAAGCTGGTGTGCTATCGCCCGGGAGAGCAGCCCTCGCTCCAGGCTTTGCAGCCTGAGCCGATGACATGAAGATGTCCTCTTCATGTTCATCCGACTCGGACAGGTGGAACACCGAGGCGTCCTCTTCGTCCTCATCGTAGTCCAGCTCGAGGACATATCAATACTCATATTGCCCGAGGCACGGGCCGAGGAGGTGGAGTTGCAGCAATCTTTGACTCAAGTTTACTTATCAATACTAAACCAAAATTAAATTATACCTCCTTTGAAAGTCTCGTTTTTAGTCTTACGCATCCGACCTGGAAAACTTTGCAGCCAATCTTATTTGTTACAGTGTACCGTGCACCAGGTCCTTATTCAGAATTCTTATCTGAATTCTCTGAGTTTTTATCAACTTTGGTACTTAAAACAGATAAAGTAATTATCGTAGGTGACTTTAATTTTCATGTTGACGATGATAAAAATAGCCTTACTGTTGCATTTAACTCTATATTAGATGCTGTTGGTTTTTGTCAGAGTGTAAATAAACCAACCCACTGCTATAATCACACTCTCGACCTTGTTCTGACTTATGGTATTGAAATTGAGCAACTATTAGTCGAACCGCATAATCCTGCTTTATCCGACCATTTCTTAGTAACTTTTGAAGTACTGTTACGAGACTACAAAGCATTAGTCAAAAGCTCCTGCAGCAGAAACCTATCTGTTAGTGCTATAGCCAAATTTAAGGAAGAGATTCCACCAATACTTAACTCGATAGCATGTCTGCATGTAAGGGAGGAAACTTATACAAAATGTACACCACCCCAAATTGATCATGTTGTTGATAGTGCTACAGATGCGCTGCGAATAAAATTAGACTCTGTTGCTCCTTTGAAAAAGAAGAAAATAAAACAACATAGATCAGCTCCATGGCATAATGCCGAAACCCGCAAAATAAAGCAAAAGTCGAGACAACTTGAAAGGATATGGCGTTCCACTAAACTTGAAGAATCTCGTTTAATTTGGCATATTACTCTCAATGAATATAAGAAAGCACTGCGTAAAGCGAGAGCAGCCTACTACTCTTCATTAATAGATGAGAATAAGAATAATGCAAGATTTCTTTTCAGCACTGTAGCCAGGCTGACAGAAAGCCACAGCTCGATTGAGCCTTCTATTCCCATAGCACTCAGTAGTAATGATTTTATGTGCTTTTTTAACGATAAAATTGTTACTCTTAGAAACAAAATTAATGACCTCTTGCCTTTGACCAGTATAGTGTTATCAACAGCTCCCGGAAACGTAAGTTCTAATATTACACTAGATAGTAAACTAGAATGCTTTTCAGCCATAAACCTTGAACAATTAAATTCAATGATTCTCTCTTCTAAACCATCAACGTGTATGTTAGACCCAATTCCAACTAAGCTGTTGAAGGAAGTTTTTCCATTAATTAGCACTTATTTATTAAATATTATGAATACGTCTTTATTATCAGGCTATGTTCCACAATCATTCAAAGTAGCAGTGATAAAACCGCTTCTTAAAAAGCACAACCTCGATCCAGAGGTTTTAGCCAATTATAGACCTATTTCCAATCTTCCGTTCCTCTCAAACATTCTTGAGAAAGCGGTCGCAAAACAGTTGTGTGATTACTTAAAAAACAATGATTTATTTGAAGATTTTCAGTCTGGCTTTAGAACACATCATAGCACAGAGACAGCTCTGGTTAAAGTCACAAATGACATTATAATAGCCTCTGACAAGGGACGTGTCTCTATTCTTGTTTTGCTCGATCTCAGTGCTGCATTTGATACTATCGACCATGATATCTTATTGCAAAGACTAGAGCACTTAGTTGGCATACAGGGAACTGCTTTAGACTGGTTTAGGTCCTATCTATCTGAACGCTCTCAATTTGTACGTGTCAATGATGAATCTTCCACGCAAACCAAAGTTAGCCATGGAGTGCCACAGGGCTCAGTGCTCGGACCTATTTTGTTCACATTATATATGCTTCCGTTAGGCAATATTATAAGGAATCATTCTGTACATTTTCATTGTTATGCGGATGATACTCAACTATATTTATCAATCAAGCCTGATGAAATTAATCATCTAAATAAAATTCAAGACTGCCTTAAGGACTTAAAAACATGGATGACCTTAAACTTTTTGATGTTAAACACGACCAAAACAAAAAACAAAAAAAGTTATTGTACTTGGCCCGAAGAATCTACGAAACAAATTATCTAAGGATATACTAACTATGGATGGCATTAATTTGGCCTCCAGTGAGACTGTAAGGAATCTTGGTGTTATATTTGATCAGGATTTATCCTTTAACGCCCACATAAAATCAATTTCAAGGACCGCCTACTTCCATCTACGTAACATTGCAAAAATCAGGCATATCTTGCCTCAAAACGATGCAGAGAAACTAGTCCATGCATTTGTTACTTCAAGGCTGGATTATTGTAACTCTTTATTATCAGGGTGTACCAAGAAGTCAGTCAAGTCGCTTCAGCTGATTCAAAATGCTGCAGCTCGTGTACTAACCAGAGTTAGGAAAAGGGACGACATTACTCCTGTTCTGGCTGCCTTACACTGGCTCCCTATAGAACACAGGATAGAATTTAAAATTCTTCTTCTCGCCTACAAAGCCCTTAATGGGCAGGCGCCATCTTACCTTAAAGAACTCATTATACCCTACTGTCCTACTAGGGCATTGCGTTCCAAGAATGCAGGGTTGTTGGTTGTTCCTAGAGTCTCTAAAAGTACAATGGGAGCCAGAGCCTTTTCTTATCAAGCTCCACATTTGTGGAATCAGCTTCCAGTTTGTGTTCGGGCGGCAGACACCCTATCCGTTTTTAAGAGTGCGCTTAAGACCTTCCTTTTTGATAAAGCTTATAGTTAGGGCTGATTAGATTCAGCCCCTAGTTTTGCTGATATAGGCTTAGTTTGTCGGGGGACATCTTACTTCTTCCTTCTCTCTGTCTATACCTGTGTACTCTCATGTTCCGATTAACCCAGCTTCCCCAAATGTCTTTATTTTTGGTGTCTATATACGCCGGGATCCGGAGTCATGGATGATCCTGCGCTCCTCTGTCCTGGATCGCGAGCCCTGGATCTTGAGTCGTGGCTGTGGTCCTGGATCATAGGTCCTGGATGGATATCCTCGTGGATTCATCTTCCTATTATACACACATGCATTTCTAAACATTTGGACTACCTATGTTGCAAATGTATTATCTTTTCAATTTACACACGGCATCTATTGCACGTCTGTCCGTCCTGGGAGAGGGATCCCTCCTCTGTTGCTCTCCCTGAGGTTTCTCCCATTTTTCCCTTTAAACTGTGGGTTTTCTTCGGAAGTTTTTCCTTGTACGATGTGAGGGTCTAAGGACAGAGGGTGTCGTATTGTCATACTGATATTTTGTACAAACTGTAAAGTCCACTGAGACAAATGTAACATTTGTGATATTGGGCTATATAAATAAACATTGATTGATTGATTGATTGATCCTCCGCGGGTGAGACCATGGTGAGGTCTAACCGGGAGCCCCAGCTCGGGAAAGCGTGGGGTCCCGTTCCCGCGTGTCTTGCCGTCACCGGGTCCCGGCCTGCCAGGGCGCGGGATTCCGGTTCTGCAGCCATCGCAGATAATGGGCCCCAGACCGACACGGAGAGGGGTTCACTCTCTGTGGCGGACGCCCCCGCATCTTGACTGCCGGCCGGCAGGTCAGTGGACATGGGGGGGTCCTGCTCCGACAGGCTAGCTTGGCGTGCTAGCCGTCGGCGGAGGCTCTTCACGGTGAAGCGGACACAATGTCCGCACGAGCCGGGGTTGTTGATAGCGCCTCGGGCGTGTTCCAGCCCGAGGCAGGACGAGCAGACCTGGTGTGTGTCTGTGCCCGAGATCTTCAACCCGCAGCCGCAGAGTCGAGCCACCGAGTCCCTGACTCCTCTGGTGTGAGGGAGAGAGGCGTCCATCTTGTTCGCCTCGTGGCGTGGAGAGGACCCGCTCTCAACAGGTAAGTTGGGAGAAAAAGGTGTTACCACCCTGTCCTTAATCCGGAGAAAAGGACGGTGTGGGTCTTTTATTCCCGGAGAATACTGACTGGTGTGACAGTATGCTCCTTTAATCCTTTCCTCCTCCGTAGGGAAGAGAAAAGAAAAAGCTTCCTCGCTACCGTGGTGTCGATAGTGAGGGAGCGACCTAGCAACAGGTGTGTTGCTAGCTTGAAAAAATCAGACCCACCTTACTTTCCGGGGAAAGAGAACGGCGAGGTCGATTTCAATACTAACTGGCGTTAGTATTACCGTCTTCCTGCAAAGCAGAAGGAGTAGCCGGCGAGCGCCCGTCGACCGAAATGGTTATATTTGGGTTCAGTCTGTGGACCGTTAAGCTTGTCCGGCTACTATAGAGATGTGCTCTGAAGCGAGAATAGGTGTTTGAATGACGCATGCGTCGTGGCGCAAGCTACTTATAGGGGGTGAATTCCCTGACGCTGACGTCAAGATCACCAGCCAATCAGGATTGGCGTAATGAGATTGATGCTTCTGTTTGCTCCGCGATGAGGCGCATCCCATAGTGAGACATCGAACGGAGTGTTCTGAATGAGAACAGCATCTTAATGATACCCAGATCAGTAAATCATCATCAATAAAAAGCTTTAAGAATAAGAACAATAGATGTTTAATGTTTGAATTGGACTTACTTTAAAATAAGCGCCATTGTTTCCTTCCGATCTTTTCCTTGGAACGGTAACGTTCCTGTCAACATCTCAAACTGGAAAACAGATGATAAATGTCAGAGAAAATGTCAGCTGACCATATGAAGGTAATGCATATAGAGGTGTAATGTTAAATGTTGCGTTCAATGCAAGCTTCATTAGTTATTTGTACTTCCCCTGCATATGAATAATACTTTCTTTTAATTGATTATGCTAAAAAGTTGTGCCTTGAAGAAATGATTACGTTATGGTTTGAGCTCCATCACGTCATCAGCCTGTTTCTGTAATATAAATGTTGCTAATGGACACATTTAAATAACACTGATATCAAATAAGGTAAGTTTGCCAAGAAATACAGTATATAACATTATGTTTCAAACAGGCAATTATTAATCTGTGACCTTTATCTCAAACCTCCACTTATGAGTAGGGAAGTCATATATTCACAGTAATAATGATCAAAGAGAAAAATCCAGTAAATATTAAAGTAAATTGTGTGGTAGATCTAGATGTAGAATATAATGCATTTAGAAATAATCCAATTCAAAACTGCTTGTTCAAACTGTTTACAAATGTTTGAATTGTATTTCAATCTAGTGTCTAGTCTAGTGTCTAGTCTAGTGTTCTAGTGACCAATTCATCTTTATCTGTCTCAAAGACTACAGTGTTCTAAATTATGATGAGATAAGCAATATAGATTTTTCCACAAATTGTGTTATATTTTATAAAATAGGCTGTCTCTTAGACCAGCTGTGTTTCAGTGAATGTTAAACTCATTTTCAGTATTAGCAAATTAAGCTGGCAGGCAAACAAAACAAGCAGAATCCAACAGATGCACGATTACAGAAAGTGATGGGACCTAATCTGCCAGATACAGTAATTAAGCAGCTTTACTGCCAGAAGAAAGCCAAATTCCAGTACACTGGCACATTATGTCACATTATATAATGTTATTTGGCAAATATGAAAATGTACATTTCTGCCTGCTGCTTTTGACACTACAATCAGACAATAATGATAACATTTACATTTCATTATGTCATATCGTTATAAAATTAAAATATTCGTACCATAAGTACCCCAAATGACCACCAGTCAGCACTTTGTGTATGACCTCTCCTGTTCACCACCTCCGGAGCCATGTACTCTATTGTTCCACAAAAAGAATATGCTCTTTTATCATGGTCGATGGCCTCCTTACTCAATCCAAAGTCTGAAACACAGAGAGACAAAGAGGGGGGAACAAGGTAAGCAGAAATACTGACAAAGAAGAGGAATAAAAAGACAGAAGATTGATTACAGTTGAATGTACTGACCAGTTATCTTAATGTTTCCTTCTTCGTCCAGAAGAATACTGTTGGGTAAAATGAACATTTAAAGCAGTTAAAAAAAGATTATGTAAAAAATAAATGAATGCAAAACAGGGGGACTTTATGAGAAAGTACTTTTCAGGCTTGAGGTCCCTGTAGATGATTCCCAAACTGTGTAGATGGTCCAACGCCAGGGCCAACTCTGCAAGGTAGAACTTCACATCCTCTTCTGTAAACATAACCTAAACAAATAAGGACAATAAAAGTGCTAGTTGAAAAATAATAAAACAGGGAAAAAACTGAGGCAAATAAAAAGCAGCAGGATGGTTCTAACTTTTATGATTAGTAAGGTCATTTTTCACTTTGTCTCAAGAACTTAAACCAAACTCTTCCAAAATGATTAGAAAAATTATTGCATGTACCTCTTATAAAAGATGGATGTTTTTAAATATTATCTTTAACTTTCTTTCGTTGAGAACTCCTAGACTCGAGTGGTCTTTGTTTCCTGATAATACATCATCATGAAAATAAGAGAGACCAAGCTCATTTCAAGAAAAATAGCTCTCAAGGACAACTCTTGCAGGTTTATTCACTTCTGCTGGTGATTAAGACATAAATATTGTACAGTCAAAGGTAGACCTTAAAAAGTAAGGGCTTGCAATTCTTTGTGGCAAACTTACCTCCTTTGAAAGACGGGTGAAAAGGTCTCCCCCTCGGAGGAAGTCCAGGATCAGATAGAGCTTTCCTTCTGTCTGGAAGGCTATGTACAAACACACACATACACAGAGTTATACTGAGTTATATGACGCTAAATTGCTCGGGCTGTATTGTATTCTGCGTTATTTGAGAATGCATTTCATTTATAAAAAAAGGTGTATTTGTATTAAAATAACAGCATTTAACCAAGAGCTTTTCAACAAAGAATGTAATTCCAACTAGCATACATTAAATGTTTGCGATCAAAATGTTCTCTTGTCTCTTGTTTATATTTGGTGATACACTTTGATTTCTGAGAGACAGAGATTACATTTAACCTGAATAAAGACCATTAGACAGCCAGACTTACCATAGTGCAGTTTAACTATAAAAGGATGGTTCACTTCTGCCAGAATGTCTCTTTCCATCTTTGACCGTACTCGATCCCGAACTAAGAAGGAGATTGGTGCAAAAATAATTTGTTTAGTTACATAATTTTCCGTTTTATAGAGTTGAGTGCAGATAAATCACATTATGCCTCTAATACCATGAGATTGATTTGTGTAGGATAAACTGCATTAACTTGATTGAAACATGTAAATTGAATTAAACCCATCCTATGGTGCTGCTGGTCTATAGTCTATATACAATAATAACAGTTATGTTTTGTCGTTGCAGCTTCTGTCACCTTGACAGGATGAACCATAACTATTCAAAGAGGTGAAGGTTAAGAGGATTACCACTTGTACGAAGACATTTTCATTTAGCACATGAAATAAGCTTTCAAAGAACACCCTCATTTAGGACTTCAATAATCCCAAAGAATTCTTATGCATCAAAAGTAGAACTTTTATACCCCAAATTCTACTGAATGTAGGGCACTCTGAGAGCTCAGTGAGCATACACATTGAAAATAAAAAGTATCACAAGACAAGACAAGACAAAACATATCGACTGTCTCTCAAAAATATAATTAGCCTACATGGGATTTGATAAGGTTTGTTGTTCCATCCATAAAATATTTCTATATTGTTTTTTGTTTACCTTTCAGTGTGGCTTTCTTCAGGACCTTCATGGCATACAGCTGTCCTCTGTCCAGTCCTCTGATCTTTCTCACCAGAAACACCTGAAATCATCACTATCATCACTTGGGAATATGCTCTTTCTTTTTTTCGACAATGCTAACAATTTAAAAAGAGTTTAACATTTATGTCAGCATTAGTTGAAACATAAAACAGAAGTATTTTGTATATTAATTGACGTTATACAGGTGATGCAAGAGGAATCCCCCTACTTGACAACAGCATACACACCTGTTGTTAATATCACGTTTTGCGTCAGATGCTACATTATACCATTATACCCGCCTTCACCGAGCTAAGGTAAGTGCAAGTTAGCTCCCATCACTTTTTATAAAGCATCAACACTGTCTCACTGTGATGGACAACAACTATGATTTGCTTAGAGTTGCCAGACACTCATTAGCCACGTTTAGGCTAACTATGCTAACATGCTAACCGGGTCAATTTACCCTACTCCTGATCTCGTGTGCATCATGCTTGTGGTGTCCGCCACATTCGGACCTCATATAGAGTAACAAAGTAAGAGGTTTTCACAAATTGAATTGTGTCATGACTTGCAATATTGTTAATCTAAAAAAAGTTTAAAAGACTTGGCGGCTTATTAACAGGTAAAGTACAGTCCGGTTCAGACCTTTATGGCTGGGCTAAAATAAGTGGAAATTCCTCTTACTTATGTGTTGTGTAGTAGGCCTACTTCTGAGGCTTATGGTTACAGTTTGGAAAGGGCACCTTTGTTCTAGCCGAATTAAGGGAAATTATATACATCAGCATAGCCTACAATGATATACTTCTCATTTTGTGGCTGCAGTTTGGGAAACCCCATTCCTGTTTAGGCTGTCAATTCCCCATACACAAATCAAGCCAAATAAATACAATGTTTCCTCAGTTTGGTGAGGAACAACTTGACTGGTTACAGACAAAGCTCCGACATCAACCCCATCCAACACTTATGGAATGAATACAGACGAGTCCTCATGGCCCAACATCAGCGTATGACCTTGCTCTTGTGTCTGAATGGGAGCAGCAAGGAGACTGCAATCCCTGCATTCTCTTTCCAGCTTCCCAGAGAAGTGAAGGCTATTAAAGCAGCATAGTATGCCCTTTGTTTTTGAATGAGATGTTTAGGAATCACACATGAGTGTGCACATACTTTTGGCCATTTAGTGTGTGGAGTCAGTGAATTAAATTAGCACATGTGAACTGCCAAATACTGTAGGTTAAATTGTGTCAGCTAAAACAATTTGGTCATGTGCCCCCATGGTAGATCTTTTTTGTTCTGCACAATTCCTAACTTAAAAATATTCAAAGACCAAGGTTACATGATGTGTTACATTTTTTCACAGTCTGGTAACAATGACTGGTTTTAAACATTCCGCTACATTTCAGAAGAGACTGACAAAAAGTGGCCACTTGTCAGAAGCGGAAAAAGTCTAAATTCTGACCCAGATTTTCTAATTTTGTAGTGCAATTATTACTATAAACATGTAGTATAGCTGAAGAAATATCACTTACCCAAGTGATATCCTGCTGGGTCAGACAAGTACAGAGAGCCTTCATCTGGTACTGTATTTAGTCAGCATTGAGCTCTAAGTAACATTGGTTTTCTTTTGACTTGCACTGTCTAGGTCAGGAGTCTGATGCAATAGATTTGTAGATTTATTTCTTTAACATTTCCTTCACGTGTATTGTCATTTGAGGTATTCAGGTCTCAGTAGTTTTGGTTAAAACTTTTTTTACTTTACCTTTCCATAAGAACCCTGTCCAAGCACTTTGAGCAGCTGGAACTGGGAGGGGTCTGCTTTCTCACAGCCTTCCTTAACATGGTGGCTGATGTCAATCTCCTTAAGTATGCTGTCATCCTGGGGAAAGGAGAGACAGACATCGTTATTAGTTCATTATTTACGTACTGCAAATAAAGAAAATTGCAGCAATACATCAATATCTGTCATGTTACATCTGTATCAATGTAACAACCACCAAAAACAACTTAAATCCCTTTTATAAATACATGAAAGACCGATGGTTATTCAGTTATTAAAGTATTAAGCCATTATGTTATTGCTTGAATGGTACAGGCTGAGGTCACTGGTAGAGATCGATATAAGCTGCCTTTTTCATCCTATTCCTTCTGCTCAGTGAAGCAAATGATCAACTTCCAACCTAAGGCATGACTTGGTCAGTGTGACAATACACTGTAATTCTCTTACGTTGTCATTTAGAAGTTAAGATCTGTATATCCCACTTTCAATCAAGTTTGAAATGCAAACAGGAGTTAGTAGAACTAGAAAGATTAAAGTCAGTGAATTGTTTTAGTCTCTCAGCTTGACAGGGTTGATCGTTTAAAAAAATAATTATTATTGAATCCGGGCTTAGTGCTGTTGTCATATCCATGTACACTTTTCCACATTTTATACGTCTGTTTAACTTAACACGCACTTGGTTAACAAATGTAAAAGGCTGGCAGATTTCTTTCTGCAAACGTTGATATAAAGAGTTCCCTATTCTGATGTTTTTGATGCGGTTCCATCTTTTTAACACAATCTCAGACGTACATCAGTTTTAAGATGATCAAATATGGTTTGTAGTTTAGCCAAAGCTTTAATGAAGTACATGTTTTAAATGTAGACATTTATTGTGGTTTTAGAATTGTTGCCTTCACAATTGTGCCAGAACACAATGAGGCCTTTTTTGTGAGGATTAAATCAGTACGAAGGTTTGTATTTGGAATTAGAGTAATATCTGAATCTCAGATTCCATATAAAAGCTAAAATATGATAACATGTTCAGTAAGATGTGCTTTTGGTAAGATTGCAATTTCTAGTATAATTATATAACAATTCTCTGTAGTGTGATAGTCTGTAAGTAAAACAGCTCTAAAATATTTGTTATTATGTCTCAACTTCAGCCTTTGAATATGTTTGTTATAACAACAATATCGCAATCAAGGTTCAAGGCTTTTATTGGTCATACGTAGTTACGTACATAGCTACAGTGTAGTTATGACGATGAAAATCTTAGGTCACAGGCTCCTCCAACAGTGCAACACAATAAAACAGAAAAACAAGTAAATACAAAAAGAAAAATTGTGAAATAGTGCAATAAGAGTCTATATACAACTGATTGGAATATGATATATTAGATAAATAATTTCTAAGTTGCAGACAGATTAATGTTATGGATGTTGTTTAAAAAGTTCAGGTGTTTAATAGTCTTATGGGATGAAACTGCCCAGAAGGAGAGATAGTTCAAATTGTTCGAGCATTCCAGACCTCTTGGCAATTTTTTTAGAAAACAGAGGGGTTGCACTTTAAAACCTAAGGGAGTCATTCTTAGTGGGACAGGGGAAACAACAAACCTGTCAGCATATCAACAGTGCATTGATATCAATGGTTCTTCTTTCACAATATCTCACACTTTGACTTGACATTAATTGGTTTCAATGCCCTGTTGCACTTATAATCTGAAGCATATATTATAGTATGTGGAACTCAAATGTATTTTACGAGAGACAATACAACATGCTTACAGTTTATTATGTGTTTTGGAGCTCAAAGATGATGAGATGGTTCTGTCCGAACCACCGAGCATGTGAGTTTCTTTAAGTGTAACACAACATAATGCATACAAGTTCTTTGTACAATGAAATTATACATTTAAGTCAAGCATAGTATAACAACTGCTATCACCTGCTGTAATATCAATGAATAGGAATTGGCTTGAAGTTTAACACGTTGTAGCCAGTAGCAATTTCCCCCTTTGTGATTAATTTTTTATTTATTCTTTAAATAGGAGGAGTGATGCCTGTCAACCAGAAGGAAACGGGTTCAAGGCGTCAGCCCCCTGAGATCCTGATCAGTAGCTGACCCTGAACTCTGACCTTCCCATGAAGGAGAGGAAAATGAAAGCGATCTTCCCCACATGGAGCATCAGAGCATCACATTAAAGACGTGGACAGGCAGACAAACAGGTAACAAACACAGACATTTGCCAGCCAGAAAGACTAACAATCACACATCACAGGTAAATAGCCTGTCAACATGATTTATCAGCACTCGGTCACAACTACAAGGACCTTGGAGGGGAAGACTTCTATTTATATCTCAGACTAACAGGTAGATGTGCTGCAAACAGAATACTGCCTCTCCCTCTTCCCTGCTGGTTTGTTTGGGCTATAAATAGACCACTGAATCAATCTGTCTCTATCCATTTATCTATCAACCTGCCTGCTCGACTGCTTGTTTTCGTTTTGTCTTTCCGTGTAGCCTGTCTCCCTGCCAGTCAAAACACAGTGTCTCTCTGCCCATCTGTTTTCTGGGTTACTGACAGACAGGCAGAGGAACTGCTGTAACGATGCTGCATGACGGCTGAACCACCCCACAACAAACCAAATAACACACATTCTTCCCACACCCTTTCCCATGTGCTCACAACCTTCACACGCATCCTTATCTACTATTGATATGAGACGGCTGCTGATATGGCCTGAATATTCACACAAACGCACACGGTGCAACTGTGACGCAATCCCCCCCCCCCGCAGATTTGCACACATGCACTGATCTGTAGTTGATGGAAGTTTGTGCTGCTCCTGTTTGGCTCACCTCTAGCTGACAGAAGCCAGTGTTGTTCTTGTTCCTCGCCGCCTTGTTCTTCAGGTAGATAGAAAACCATCTCCGCACTGTGAATTTTCGCGTGCTGGTGTCCATGGCAACGGGCAAAGCTTTGCATCTATCCCATAATGATGAACATCTCCCTGCAGGGTGGGGGGGGGTCCTAAAGTAGAGATGCAGGGACAGAGCTTTATATATATATATATCTTAGTTATCTATTTGTCCCGCAGTTCATCCATGTCCTCAATGCAGTCGTCCCTCTTTAGTGTTCCCATCATGCACGCTTGCTGTTCGTCTCTCTGAATGTCGTGTCCCCCCCTCCGTCTCTCAGACGCAGTGTACGCCAGTAAGCACGCAGACAGAGTTGTAACAGAGCCGTTAATCTGCGCAGACAGACAGAGAGACAGACAGACAGACAGACAGGTTGACGGCCGGGGCAGGTGCGGCTGGGCTTGTCTTGTGTTTTGCAGCCGGCTCGCTGCCAGAGGTGACGAATAAATCTGTTCCGGTGAATCACGAGAAGTGTGTGTGAGCTCCCTCTTCACATCCCTGCTTGTGCATGTGTGTGTTCATCCCCTGCTGCCTCCCTCCCTGTCTCTCTCTCCCTCTCTCTCTCTGCAGAAGGGATTGTCACCAGTCACATTGTGTGCCGGCAAGCTCCTGACCCCCCCTCCCTTATTCTCCCCTATTCCTGCCCCTCACCTCCCTCCCTGTTTCTCCCACCAGCATACAGCAACAGCTGGTGAAGTCACATGGTGTTAGTCAGCTACCTCTCTCTGTCTGTCTCTCTCTTCCTCTGTCCCTTCTCTTTAGCTCCTGCCTGTCATCCAATAAGACACATAGACAGAATAAAAAAACGATGACAACGTAAAAGTAGAATGCAAGCAGCAGAGGTTTGTGGGGAATACTGTGGCTCAGATTCAGTGACATCACATGGGAATTTAATGTAAGGACAGCAATCAATGTTGCAGTCAATAATGATGACAAATTCCAGGACAGGCAGAGTGCATCGTGATCCAGTTGATCACTTGGCGCGTGTGTGTGTGTGTGTGTGTGTAGGTACTTGGATCTGTCACATCAGCAGCTTTGCAGAACTGCAGTGTTACATAAGCAGGGAGGGAGAGGGAGGGAAATGGAGACCAAGTTAAGTGAAGGGGGGCATGGTGGGGTTTTATAAGATTAAGAAGCAAGGGGTAAAGTCAGGACTGCTGTTCTACCTGGATCAAGTGTCTGTCGCTGAAGACTTTTTTTTTTAAAGATGTTATATTCTCCAGCCACGGTAACTCGCATAGAGCGCTCAAACTGTGATCCCTAAACTTGGAACGCCAGTAGAAACAGAGCTCATAGAGCTTTTTTCATGAGCTTGACAGGATTTGGACCACTTTTAGAATATAGCTGGGACATAGTGTGAGGACATTTTGGCACTATTGAATATGTAATCAGATGTGTTTAGTCAATCTGCTGTGATGTGCTGTGGGAGGGATCCAGGATTATGGACTGGTGTCTTTGTCCCGGGAGGATTAAGGCTCTGTAAGGAGATCACAACATTAATATTCATACACACCGAGTAGATGTGGACAGAGATGGAGAGACATAGTATTTTACTTTACTATAGTATACTACATGCACAGACAGAAATACATTGACCCTAAATTAAGCTAACTTCAAACTATCCTGACGCCACTCTTTTCAAACAGATGGTCCTTTACAGTATATTCATTCACGTCGCTCTACAATCAATCACATTAGTTCAAAATGCAAATAGCTGCACTTTAATCAATATGGCAAGTTATATAATGAGAGACATTGACTAGATATTGAATGTTTTATTGACATTAAAACAATGGAAGTACACATGTTCATTTCAGTAGTTACTTAGCACCACAGCATTTGTCTACTGTAGCTGTCAATTATAATCATTATTTTGCCTTTTAGCTTACACTGAATTTATTTATACATGCACAAGAGTAGCCAGAGCCAAACAGGACAAATAGAAAGAAGCCATTGTACAACTATGTGGGGGATTCAAGTGTTTAGGAAAACATTTGCAACAACTATTTTATCTCTACAGGCCTAGAACTTGTGGGACACAAATGGTGCATAATAACCTTGTATGACATCTTGTTTAAATGATTGTTTATAGTGTACTTTGAGGTTGTTAACTCATTAACGTACAATTACAATGTAAAAGAAACAAAAGCATTTAATTTACACATATACTATTTTTTTAACACATTTTATTTGTACTTTCTATCCATACATAATGTTTAGGCTATTTTTTTTCCAAGTTCTCTATATGACTAGCAGTCCTTAATATCAATAGACAGGCCTAACCAGGCCTATAACAAAACACTGAATAATGATGTAGGCAAACTTCAAAAGGTAGCAATAACTACCACATGTTTATAATGACTAAAAAACGACCACCTTTGCCCCCAAAGCCATTTACAATGTGCACGTGACCCTAGAATATTTGGGTAGTGATTTAACAATAAGAAAACCAAGCTATTTTGATGATGATGCATTGGATGAATTAACTTTACATAGCAATAATCAAGAGGCACATAAACACACAAATGTGGTATAAAATATTCCCAGTCCTTAAAAGATTATGTACGAAAGATTGACATATAACCTACCGATAACATAGACTAAGAGTCACCTGCAAATCTGATGTAAGGCTCCACTCATTCGCCAACAAGATGTCGTATATTAACTGTCCAATCTGCCCACCCACCTGACCTCAACTCACCCCAATGCCCCCTGTTGAGGCGTGGAAAGAAACATGCTGTGCACTATATCGGATTCATCTACCAGCAGCCGTCAGAAAGGCACTTAATTCCATTAAAGCACTACTTGGTAGCGGCGTGTGTTTCCTGGAGCAAAGTACCTGTCCCCACAAGCATTTAAATGTAGTAAAAAAAAATGTTGTTTTCAGACTGAACTCATTGTGAGGTGTTGACAAACATGAGTGTTTAAGTTATGGTGTTCAATTTGAACCCTGAGAAAAAAGGAAATAAGTCGTTGTGCGCAAATGCTAAATCACAGTACAGTTGATTTGTTTAGTGTGTGTGTGTGTGTATTTAGGGTTGTAGTGTGCTGTTCGGTTTCAGTCGTATGTTCTTTTATGAAGGTGTTGGGTAGTAAACGGGCACATCCTGGTCACACACACTGAACCCAGATGTCTTGTCGACTGCGATGCGATTGTCCACGTGTCCCTTAGGTGTTGTTGTTAAATGTTTCTCACAGTCCAGGAGGGTGAAGTCAGAGTTGAAGCAGATCTCAATCTGCCCCAAAATCTGAAAACCTGCATTCTGCAAAACACACAATTTGACAATCTAAAAGACTTTCAGTCAACATTTGAATCATATTTTAAACACACACAAGATACACATTAATATTCCTATAAAAAGGACCATGCAAAACTAGACAGAAAATTGAGATAGCATTATTTGAATAATATATGTGTTATACCTTTGACGGATGGACACATTGGATCTTAGGCTTGACGCTGTAGAAGTTCTCTATGACTCCTTCAATTTGTGAAAGCTACGCACAGACACATTAGAAGAAGAGACAAAAGGAAAAGTAAGGGACAGTCTTATTACAGACTATAAGGCATTTTCATGAGATTTTTATATACCATTATTTGAGGTTAAAATATAAATAGACCTACTTTGTAGTAATTTTCTGAAGGGATGATGTCAAACTTTGTCAGGATGCTACAATAACAGAAACAAAGATATTTATAACTTTGAGGTTTATGCTTTGATCCACAATTACTTAAAATAAGGTTACAACAGTTGACTTTGCTTCTGATGAGAAATGTGTATGTGCAAATGTGAGGGTGTGATTTGGACAGGTACAGCACGTACCTGTCCAAATCCAGTTTATGGTATAGTTCCAGGGCCTTGCTGAAGTATTTATGTTGGCTATTCAGAGACTCTGCCTTGGCTGCACATGTACCATGTTTGTGCCACTCATACTTCCTGTGGAAACAGACAAACAAGTATTAATAGGTTTTCCAATGATAGTGTACTTTTTAAGACTAAAATATTTCCTGTAGTCACAGTTAGTAAACAATAAATATAATGTGAGCATAGTGTGTTTTTGAACAAGTGTTAACTATAAACGTTATGTGCTATATGCATTAAGCTGCATTTTACAGTTTATTCCCAGCTTTAAAGAGAGTTGAATATGCTATAACGTAGACAGAAATGTCCATATATTGCTGCCACAGGACACACTGACCGAAACAAATGCATGTAGCTAATTAGAAGCCAACTGAAGTTTTTTAGCCTGTGAAGTTAATATTCAGGATACGATTTTGAAATTGGTTTGTCTGCAAATAAGGTAATATGATCACAAACTGTGTTAAGATTAAACACTTGAGTATTGACAGCATATGAGTTGCATATCCAAATTAATTTGAGGATGCATTGAAAAATTATACAACCCGACAAACAATGCATCTCCAATACTGATGTGGTAGAAGCAGAGGTGGGACCAAGTCATTGTTTTGCAAGTCCGAGTCAAGTCTCAAGTCTTTGCGCTCAAGTCCGAGTCAAGTCTCAAGTCAGGATGGGCAAGTTCAAGTCAAGTCCAAGTCCTAAACTTTGACAAAACGAGTCTTAAACAAGTCCTTATGTGCTTTTCAACAAATGTAATGACATCGATCAACAGCAGGGCCGTCCCTCCCTACAGGCCGGTCATGCAGGCTGTATGGGGCCTCACATTGCGCAGGGGTCCTCGGCTTATGAGCTCGGCTTGTGCGCAGTTCCCCGCGCCCCCCCCCCCCCCCCCCCCCGCTGATACGCGAGAGTGAGAGGTGACAAGGGGAGCACGTCTGTAACCCGACACCGTTGCAATGAATCGACATCTGACCAATCACGGCTTTGATACGGCCACTAGTGCAGGTGAAGAGATGTCGGCAAAAAGACAGTTTCAGTCCGGCGCAAGCAAGAGGGAAACAAAAAAAAACATGAAGAAACTAGAGCATCACTCGAAGGTGGGTTATTGTATGAGTCAAATGTACAACTTGCGAATGTTGTATAAGTCAAATGTCAAACTTTTGCCAATTGCCAAAAAACATCAGCTGCAATTCACGACATGAAGAAGGCAGTTTCTGCATAGCATATAGGCTAATGGAGATGCAGTTATTTCCAGCATTCTTTATTTACCATTCATTCAAGTATTTTATGCCTCCCTTGTATCTGCTAATGTACAGGAGGAAGAGTGATAAACTGTCTCTCTAGTTGGCTTACATAACAGTTAAAGTTTACAGCCTAAAAAACATGGAGCATTTCTTCCCCTTTTATTCGTCAATTTGCACATTTCGTGGTAATGCTCAGCCTCTCCCCTTAACTCCTAACAGTCATCGTCATGTCAACCACAACACAGAGAAATACTGATAGAAATGTGTGTGTAGTTGTTGATACATTGCTGACAGAGGGAACTAGAATACAGATTTAAGAAATATCAGTTTTTGAGCATGTCATAAGCATGTTTTGTCTTGACTATACAACTATATTATAATAAAACAATATAGTATTTATATTATTGAATTTATTATTATTATTAGAAGTAGTTTATTTGCATTAATCATATTCTAATCTTTTTGAGGCTAGTATTTGGCAGGAAATGCAGACGTATTCACCTGTATGCATACTGAACGACATACATGCACATTTACCTCACTGTATAAAAAAGTAACTGTGTTGATAATAATAATAAACAGGAATTATATTTGCAAAGTACTTTGTTTCCAAAAAATATTTTTTCACTGTCGGTTGGGGGGGGGGGCTCATCTCACAATGTCGCTTGGGGCCCCAAGTTGGCCAGGTACGGCCCTGATCAACAGAATAATACTTAATAATCAAACTGCCCTTTATTAGTCACATTAATAATTTAATAATCCATTTTCTCTCTGCTGGTAAAGTAACGTGTTTTTTCTATTTTAAGAGGGATAAGTAAGGTAATGCTACCGTGACGGTTTGATTCAGAAGGAGTTTAATGTATAAGATCCCTGATGTTGAGGTGACCAGAATGTTTATTTCCACTGTGTACAACATGTTATAAGGGACCCACAATCTATCTTTATGCAAGGGATAATGTGCAGCGAGGCGGGCTCTATGGGGAAAAGAACACCTGCATCTAGATGCAGGTGGTACTTTATGTGTATTTTGATGCTAATACTTTTGTACTTTTACTTGTAACATTTTGAATGCAGGACTTTTTATTGTAACCGAGTATTCCTACACTCTGGTACTTTTACTCAAGTACAAGATCTGAACTTCTCCCACCTCTGACAATAAATCCTGAGTGGTTACCACAAAAAAAACCCTGCTCTGAAGGTTATTTTCATTTTACAAATCCTGCACTCAGCTTTGCTTTCTCCAATATCATTGAAATGCAGCCAGATGCTGCTTCTTTTTTCGGTTTTCGCACATTTCTTGACTTTTTCCGACACGCTTGCATTTAAATCCGGCTCCCCCGTCTCTCTGACGCTCTGTGTAGCTGGCCTGTACCACTACACCTGCGTCTGCCCCCCACCCTTCTTTCACATAATGGTATGATCCTAGTGTGTCCTCGCATATGATTGGCCGCATGGTGGCTCAGCAAAATAAAGTTCCGCCCCTGCCTGCAAGGATTCACAGCAAGAGTTGCAGCGGCTGGAGATTATGCCCTCCCCGACGGGAGTCTGCTCTTCTAGCGGCATCTCGCGATCGGCGTGTTGGAGACCTCTGAATTAAATGATCAAGTCATCTCAAGTCAGAAGGCTCAAATCCAAGTCAAGTCCCGAGTCATTAGTGTTCAAGTCCAAGTCGAGTCGCAAGTGTTTTGTGATGTTGTCAAGTCGAGTCCAAAGTCATCAAATTGGTGACTCGAGTCTGACTCGAGTCCACACCTCTGGGTAGAAATACAGTGTTATAGTTTATTATACGAGAATACACCCAACTAAAAATTGTCAGACAGATTGACAGGAACATAATTGAAGGATTAATTTATGCAATACCAGAATCCAGTAGACATGGGGCTCAACAAGTCTGGCCAACTCTTCTTCATGTCTGGAAGCAGGTCCTATAACACACAGCAAACATATTTATGTATACACAAGCTAGAGAAAGGAAGGAAAAAACAATCCTTTATTTCCCTTCCTACATTTGGCTAAGCTAGATCTTACTGTTTTTTTGTTGTGTGTTTTAGAGTTTTTATTCTATTTTATGAGGCACTAACTACTAAGTAGTATTCCCGTTTCTTCTTTGACCTTGGATGCATACCTTTGTGTTTGTTCTTCTTAACCTCAGTAACTAATAGTTGACAAAAATAATATGTGAAATGCTTTCATGAATTTTGCAGCAGTGTTAAGGGCGCAGTCAGCCTAAACAATGTTATACTTTGTTATGTGGTTAATACTTAATATAAATTAAGTTGGAAACCACATATGCTATATCAAAGCCAAAATATCCAAATCAATAGCAATTCTGAATAAAGCCAAATACCTAATTAATCAAGCTTCTTTGTTTATGCTGTACTGCTCCTTCATACTTCCATACATGATGTATTGTGTGGAAGTTTGGGAGAACACATATAAAACAAATACACATTCTATCTTCATCCTGCAAAAAAGAGCCAATACGAGTTATACATAAAACTACATACAGAGAACTAACAAATGCATTATTCATCAAACTAAAAACTATAGGTTACTTACGTAACCCCAGTTCTCAGAGTAACATGAAGTGAGATGTCTCCCTATGGGATGCGCCTCAACACGTATGCAAACAGAAGCATCAATCTCATTACGCCAATTCTGATTGGCTGGTGATCTTGACGTCAACGTCAGGGAATCCACCCACCCTTTAAGTAGCTTGCGCTACGACGTAGCGGCATTCAAAATAAGTACCTCTTCTCGATTCGCCTTAGCAAGAAGGGCCGTCTGGTAGGGCTGAACGATATACCGTGTCATGGCGATAACCGCGGTATGCGCATGCGCGGTATTCACACCGCAGGGACGTGCGGTTTTATTCATTTAAAAAAAAAAATGCTAACGCACTTTAGCACAGAATTCAAAATAAAGATACCCTTATTACTTATCGAAACTGCACATACAATATATCCGATTAAAGCTGAGACTCCACAGATTATTTAAGTATAGTATCTAAGCGATCCGATCTCGCAACAGGGGAAGCAAACACAGACATCACAACACGTACCTTTTACGGAGCTTTTACGGGAGATCGTCTCACCGTAGCTGTCAATCTGATCAAAAGACGTGTTCAATGACATTAAAATGAGAAAGAAAAAACGCAGCTGAATCGGTTGATCCATAGGTTGATAATGTATATGTGGCTTTGAAGCAATTGTTTATAATCCATAATTCCATTTTTATGTAAAAATCGGAGCACAAAAGTTAGCTGCTAATGGTAGAGTGTATGCAGCTTTCGGTTTTGGCTACGCGTCACTCTCACTCCTTATTTGTTCACGTGTTGGTGTGTGTAGAACTTCCCCTGCATGCACAGCAAACCACCAATCACAATCATTCTTGATCAGATCACAGCAGGCCCCGCCCCGCTAGTTTGCAGACCATCAAAACACTGGTAAAAAATGAGCGAGGCACAGGAGGACAATACCGGAGAAAATGGAATTATGGATTATAAATTAAATCATTTTTTTATACAGAGACCTTATGGATTAAACCTATGGATTAACCGATTCAGCCGCGTTTTTTCTTTCTCGTTTTAATGCCATTGAACACGTCTTTTGATCTGATTGACAGCTACGGTGAGACATCTCCCCTAGAAGCTACGTAAAGGTACGTGTTGTGATGTCTGTGTTTGCTTCCCCTGTCCGAGTTCAGATCACTCAGTGATGATACTATATACCTAAATAATCTGTGGAGCCTCAGCTTTAATCGGATATCTTGTAAGTGCAGCTACGATAAGTAATAATAAGGGTACTTTTATCTTGAGTTCTGTGCCAAAGTGCGTTAGCATTTTTCGCTCAGGGGTCATTTAGATGCTTCTTATGAGACTTGTTTTGTTTTGGTAAAAATGGTTTGTATCGTCAATTAGCTGAGATTATTTCCGTTAATCTGGTAGAACACATGAATAGGTTCTTAAATATTACGATCCCCTTAGACACTGTTGTGAAAAAAAAAAGTAAAGTACCCGCCGGGACTTTGGGGTTTAACAGGTTAAAAAAAACGCAATATATACCGCAGGGGGGGGGGGGGAAATCGCGATGTCAGTTTTCAGTTTTTCAATACCGTGCAGCCCTACCGTCTGGTGAGACATCTCACTTCATGTTACTCTGAGAACTGGGGTTACGTAAGTAACCTATAGTTCTCATTCATAACACTCCGTTCGATGTCTCACTATGGGATATTGAAACTCCCGTATTGCTAGACATGCTTATCTCTAAAATCACCAAAGCAACCAGAACTTAACAGGTAGAACTCTGTCTCACCACGGGACCCAGCACTGCGCGGGCCACACTTGGAGCAGAGACATCTAGCCTGTACAAGCGGACAAAAGTGAGCGGCGAGGACCAGCTCGCTGCTGCACAAATGTCTTGGATGGAAACACCCTTGAACAAAGCCCAGGATGTAGCCAGTCCACAAGTAGAATGAGCACGCAGGCCCGTTGGTGCCTGCAAACCCTGACTCGTATAAGCCAGAGCAATCGCTTCCACAATCCAGTGGGAGAGCCGTTGCCTGGTAACGGGCTTGCCCTTCTGAGGGTTAGCCCAGGATATAAAGAGTTGGTCATTACAACGAAACTCTTTTGACCTGTCCATATAGGTGCGTAAAGCACGAACTGGACACAGCAAATTCGGCCGCTGTTCCTCAGAGGAACACAGTGCCAAGCGCTCTGGGTGTGGGTGAAAGATCGTCCCCCCCCGCCTGAGACAGTATGTCCCTGCGTAGTGGGAGCTGCCATGGCTGCCCGCACAGCAGCTGATATATCTCTGCCAGCCAGTACATTGCAGGCCAGTGCGGAGCTATCAGGATAAGTGTGTGGCGTTGTTCCCTCATAGCACGTCCACGCCTAACGGTGCGTTTAAATCGCTCATTGAAAAGAACAGCTGACATTGAGCATTTTCTTTTGATGCGAACAGATCTACCGCGGCTCGGCCGTAACGCACCCACAGTTGACTCACAATCATTGGATGTAGAGTCCAGTCTGCATATAGTGGTGCACCTCTGGACAGCAGATCCGCCCCGAGGTTCATCACTCCTGGTACGTGCGTCACTCTCAGAGAGAGGAGACGTCCGCAGCTCCATAAGATCAGTTTGCGTGCCAGCATGTGTAACTGGAGAGAACGCAAACCCCCTTGGCGGTTTATATACGATATTGTGGTCATGTTGTCTGTCCTCACGGGGACAGGATGTCCTCTGAGAAAAGGCAGAAAGCGTTTCAGGGTGAGGAACACCGCTAAAAGCTTGAGATAATTTATGTGTGACCGTTGGAGGTCTCTGCTCCAGAGACCCCTCACAGGTCGACCTTCGTATATACCCCCCCAGCCCGTCAGACATGCGTCTGTGGTGACCACCTTCCGCGATAGGACAGCACCCATAGGCACGCCCCGTACTAGAAAAGTCGGGTGTAGCCAGTGGCGCAGTGCCATTACGCATTTCATAGTGACCATCACTCTCCGCGCGCCATGACGCGCGGGGTCCAATCTGAGGGCAGCTACCCAGCGCTGAAACTCCCTCATGTGTAAGTGTCCCAGTCGTACTACCAGAATGGCTGACGCCATGAGCCCCAGCAACCGCAGGGGACCACATGACCTGAAGAGCACATATTTGCGTGGCTGGAAATGAGCGAGGCAAGCCCTGAAGGCTTTCACTCTCTCTGCTGACAAGCGGGCTGTAAAGGGCACCGAATTCAGGTGTAGGCCCAGGAAGAGTACAGTCTGGGCTGGAGACAACATGCTCTTTTCTGTGTTTATTACGAAACCCAGGTCGAGCAGGTGTTTTACGAGGACATTCGTCTGCGTAATAGCCTCTTGTTCCGACTGTGCGAGAAGGAGCCAATCGTCCAGATAAGTTGCCAGGCGAATACCCTGTTGTCTTAACGGGGCTATCGCGGCTTCCGTACACCGTACAAACACTCGTGGGCTGAGAGACAGACCGAAGGGAAGTACTCTGTACTCGTAACAGACACCCTGAAAGGCGAACCTCAGATATTTCCTGTGTGGGTAATATACTGGGATGTGGAAATACGCATCTTTCAGGTCGACTGATGTGAACCAGTCGTTTTGGCGCACGAGACGCAACAGAGATGTGTGAGTGAGCATTCTAAATTTGTATCTTTTGAGATATTTGTTCAGAGCTCTCAAATCTAGTATAGGCCGAATTCCGTTCCTTCCCCGTTTGGGAACGAGAAAATACTTGGAATAAAAGCCGCTCTGACTCTGTTCAGCGGGTATTATCGATATAGCCTTCTTTTCTAGTAGCGAGAAAATCTCTTGCTCTAGAATATGGGCCGACTCTCCCCGGGCCTGTGAATACAGAATGCCCGAGAAGGGGGCGGGGGGGGTGACAGCGAATTGGAGCCTGTAGCCCCGTGTTACTGTCTTGAAAACCCAAGCAGAATCTGTGAGCATCCTCCACTTTTCGCTTCTCAAAGCGAGCGGAGATGTCACAGCTCTGCCGTCTGCCCTCAGTGTCTCTATTTGTTGTGTTATGGGGCCCTCTAGTGTCTGAACACGGTGGTACCCCAGGTTGACAACCCCGGCCGACACTGCGCATGCACGTGGCGGTGGTGCCTTCACAATCCCGTCTATTGTCCGCCTTTTGAGAGAGGCCGTAGCCGCTCTCAAAAGAGGGGCAGACGACAGACTGTTTATTGTTTTTCTTTTCATTTTTATTGACTGCGCCCTTGGCTTCAAGCCTGGAAACAACAGTGGGAAATGATTTATTTTGAAACAACAATGATGACATGTGTTTGTGTGACTTAAACAGGCAGCGGAACTTGCTGTCTTCGATGTTAAGTCCATTTCCCTGATGGCGCGAACTTGAGGATGACGTTCTGGCATCACTCGAGGCGGCGGGAAGATGGGGGCATGGTGGCACCCCGAAAACACATGGGCATCCAACACTGGAACGTCCTCTGGAGCTGGGGAACAGGGAACTTCCAGCTCCTTCATCGAGGAGAGGAGGCTGTCAGGCTGCCCGCTTCTTCTTCCTCGCCTGGTGGCTGAAAACCTGGGTCGGCTGCGCCTGAGCGGCAGCTGCCGGAACCGGAGATTTTCTTGGCCAGCTCCCTCTTGCCTCGTGCCTGGGCTGGGGACCCGGGACGGGCTGCGGTCTCTGCTGCTTCGGTATTTTGAACCGGGCAGGACGTGAGACAGCTTGAGGGAAGGCCTGCCACGGGACCATTGGAGGTGGCGGCTGGACCCTTCGGGGGAGACAGAGCTGGAGAGCCTCGTCTCCCTTCATTTTTGACTCGCATCTCAGCTGCATTGAAGCTAGAGCGGAGCCAAATATGCCCTCGGGAACAATAGGCATGTCCAGAACATCCTCTTTTTCCCGGTCTGGAAGGTTCGTCAGGTTGAGCCACCTGGCTCTCTCCTGTACCACCATTATTCCCAGTGCTTTGCCCGTGGCTTGGACTGCACAGCGCTGCACATGGAGGCAAATGTCCGTGATCGCTGCGATCTCGTCCCACACGACAGGCTCAGGTTTGCTCGACATGTCTTCGCAGAGCTCCGCCTGGTAGGCGGTCAGCAGCGAGGAGACGTTGAGTGCCCTGGCGGACAAAGCTGCGGCTTTATAGGCCTGTTCGGTCATCGCTGACTGGAACTGGTCTGCCTTTGCCGGTAGCATGGGGTTCCTGCTCGGTGTCGAAGCCAGCCTCGGTTGGAGGTGGGCTGCCACCAGCGGTTCCATGGGCGGCATGCGGAGCAGGCCGAGCCTCTCCATACCGTCACAGTCCAGGGAGGAGGCACCCTGGATTGGGGCCTTGTTGCTAAAGGGACGGTCTCTCCACGAGACCGACACCTTGTCCAGCATCTCCGGAAAGACTGGAAGGAGCTGCCTCTTCGTCCTCGCTGCTTGGGGCAAGTTCTTCCCCTCGTAGCGAGATCTGGAGGTCTCCTTGGCCACTTCAGGCCATGGGATGTCCAGCCTGGACGCAGCGCGTTGACACACGGCCTGCAAGTCCATGCTTAGGACGGGCGAAGCTGGTGTGCTCTCGCCCGGGGGAGCGGACATCGCTCCCGGCTTTGCAGCCTGAACCGATGAAACGAAGATGTCATCCTCATCCGAGTCAGACAGGAGGAACTCAGAGGTATCCTCTTTGTCCTCCATATAGTCCAACTCCAGGACTTCCTCCGCGGGTGGAACCATGGTGAGGTCCAATTGGGAGCCCCAGCTTGACACAGCGCGGGGCTCGGCTCTCGCGGCTCTTGCCGCCACCGGGTCCCAGCCTGAAATGGTGTGGGGCTCCGGTTCAGCGGCTGTTGTTGAGACCCAGTCTGGCACAGCACGGGGCTCAATCTCTGCGGCGGACGCCACCATGTCTTGATTGCCGGCCGGCGAATCAGCGGACATGAGGGGGTCCTGACCCGACAAGCTAGCTTGGCGTGCTAACCGTCGGCGGAGGCTCTTAATGGTGAAGCGGGTACAATGCCCGCACGAGCCGGGGTTATCGATAGCCTCCCGGGCGTGTTCCAGCCCGAGGCAGGACGAGCAGACCTGGTGTGAGTCTGTGCCTGAAATCTTAAACCCGCAGCCGCATAGCCGAGCCTCCGAGTCCCTGACTCCTCTGGTGTGAGAGAGAGAAGGGTCCATCTTCGATCGCCGGGGTGTCGGCGTGGAGTGGACACGCTAGTAACAGGTACGTTACTGAGAAGAAAAAAAAATCCAACCTTGCCGTTAGTCCGAAAGGAAAAAAGGCGACGGTGTAGATTTTATTCTTTAAAGAATATTAACTGGTGTGTTAATACCTTTTTTTTTTTATCTCTGTCTCCTCTGGTGTGAGAGAGAAAAGAGAACGTCCTCTTTACCGTGGTGTCGGTGTGGAGGGAAGAAAAAACTAGCAACAGGTATAGCTTGAAGAAAAAATCAAACCTTACCATTATTTCGACAGAAAGAACGGCGAGGCAGATTACAATATTAACTGGTGTGTTAATATTGCTCAGTCTTCTTGCAAAGCAAAAAAGTAACCGGCAAGCGCCCGTCGACCGAATGTTAGCTTTGGGTTCAGTCTGTGGACCGTTAAGCAAGCCCGGTTACTGATAAATCGAGATGTGCTCTGAAGCGAGAAGAGGTGTTTGAATGACGCTGCGTCGTAGCGCAAGCTACTTAAAGGGTGGGTGGATTCCCTGACGTTGACGTCAAGATCACCAGCCAATCAGGATTGGCGTAATGAGATTGATGCTTCTGTTTGCATACGCGTTGAGGCGCATCCCATATACCTCATTCACACCAACGCAACTCCGGTTCAAGCTCCGTGCTAGAGCTTTTCAGGTTCAGAACCAGTTCTTCGGTTTAGCTCTGGCTCTTTTCACACCGCCCAGAGTCCGACTGGTAATGCGTCGTTGCGTCATCGTCATGACGTAACCGTTTGCGTGCCTGCTTCATAAAGCCAAACCGCGCGGATGAAATCAGTTGCATTAATTTCTTATGGCTCTATCTGCAGCTTTTCCGGAGTCATTTCTGTAGTTTAGTTATATTCTTATAAAAAAAGTGTACTCGTGTCAATAAAGGTTTTTTTAAAACACAACTGCTTCTGAGGTCGGTCTTATTTCTTAAGGTGGACTGAACCATGAGTGTGGAGTAACGTTATATCTTTCATTTAAATGAACTGTAACCTTCACCCAGGTATGTAACAGCTGTTCTCAAATGAACACGTGAAGTAAAGTTTAATATTTATAGTTTTATAATGAGAGGTGATCAACGTGAATGCTCAGGTTCCACCTTAACACGCAGACACGTTGCTTCACCATGAGCAGAAACCTTTATGCAGTCTATGGCAGAAACACGGAAACTCTGAAACTCTTGTTAAGTTTCTCCATCATTGTGTACAAACTGGATTAAACGCGGGCTTTTTGTTGTTGTTCAGGACTCAGGAGTTGATCTGTCTCTGCTCCCGCCTCGACGTAAGCGTGACGTATGTGGTGCTTTTGCTCTGGCCGGACAATTTTTTTGTACTTGAAACGAACCGGATTCCGGAGCTAAGAGGCTGCTCCGCTGCGGTGTGAAGAGGAAAACCCGGTGCTTTTCAAGCTCCAGCTCCGAACCGGCCCTGAAACACCGTTGGTGTGAATGAGGTGATAGTGAGACATCGAACGGAGTGTTATGAATGAGAACACTAAAACTACAAGACCTGGTTGACTATAAAACTATTCAAATTATGTTCAAAGCCGCAAATCAACAATTACCTCATAATATCCAGGGACTTTTCACACGGAGAGAAAGCATGCACATGTTGAGAGGAAACTGCATTTTCAAAAAACCACCCGTACGAACAAATGCCAAACTTCATTGCATCTCAGGATGATAAAGGTGTTAGTCTGTGGAATGACTGTAATGATGCACTGAAATATTGTACAAATCTAAACTGAAAGTATTATTTAGGAGCCAAATCATTAATGGTTATGAACAGGACCTGTAAAATCCCATTTGTTGTTATTTCTTGTAATTGTTAAAGTAATTTATTTCTGATTGTTTTGTAAAAAAACAAAAAGCAAACAAATTAACAAGACAAACATGTCGCTGATGACGATGACCTAATATTTTATTTATAAGAAAAATATATGCTAGAGGGGGTAGGACCAGAAACGTTTTTTTAAGCTTCTTCTTGCCCCTGTTGAACATGACCGAGACTATTTGAGAATTATTATTGTTTTTTTTTTTGTTATTATTTGTTTTTTGTAATAATTATTAATTTGAGTGAGAAAAAAAAAAAAGGAAAAAAAGAGAATATACCTCTATTTCAGAAGAGTTGAAATGCCACGATGAATTGCAGTCAATCCCTTTATCTGGCCTGGAAAATAGAAGGATTCAAACGAGGGAAGAAGAGAGAGAAAGAAAGACGGTAAAAACAGATTTTACAACATGGCAGCAATGACTTTTCAAAGAGCTGTTTCCCATGCGTTGCATTTCTTCCCCAAAATACTGCCCGATTAGATGTGCTTCCTCTTGCCACTTTCCTAAATAGGTCAGTAGCAAATGTGTAATACATTCCTTCACTACTTTTTCAAGCACAAATTATCATAGTGTACATATTTATATGTTGTAAAAGCAAACATTTGCAGACAGGAAATGTATTCCTAACAAGGTAATCAGAAATCTGACATGCCGATACATGAAGAACACACTTTTCTTTTCGGATTAATAACCACACACATGCATACCAGAGTCCATGTAGCGTCCAGTAGCTGATGTTGGGATGACAGACTGGGACTTCCATCTGAAATGTATAATGTTTGTTATTCCATCAAGACACATACATTTAACTCGTAATTGTATTTTTAACAATAACCATTAGGTAATACTCAAATAGCATTAAGCATCGCAACCTCAATAAATAAGCAAAAAAGGTTGAAAGAAACGCAGAGATAATTATTGAAAGTAGCTCCTAGGGCTGCCACTAATGATTATTTATAATTAAAACAATTGTTCATTCTTAGATCAAACAGTTCATTATTTGTAAGTATCACAAGCAATTATTTACTGTTTGGAGTTGATAAAAGATTTGAGCACTTAATGAAATAAACATTGGTAAAAAGATACAGCAAGACTTTTATATGAGATTTATATTTTCAACCACCTAAAATTAGATAAAAAGATCTTCCTTTAACCACTACGCAAAGTCACACTGTTGATTTTAAAGGGGGAATGCAGCAAGGATGACGTTAAGATCTCCCCAGTTTAATCTTGATTACATTTCTAAAAATGTCTTGCTAAATAGTTAAAAATAAATGTACTCCAAGGTCATTAAGCAAAATGACACCCAGAGCAAATAAATGGAAAACTAAACCCCCAAAATCACGTTGGCAAACCTTTGCAGACACGCACACAGCTAAGCATATGATACAAAACCACATGTGACTCGTGTTTGAATCAGAGAGCTTCTTAAGAAAACAGAAAAAGAAAGAAAAAGAATGCAAAGAAAGCACAAAAATAAGGGAACTGCATCCTCCTGTGTTAAACAGTGTATTGCCTAATCAACCTGATAGTTGACACAGTGTCTCATGACTCAGACATCACATGATATTTAGGGATTACATGTTGACAGTCTAGGGCAATGTAAGAGTGCAACATTGTCTTAAGATGGCATAACATGTTACAAATCAATAATAGATAAAGTTATTGGTTGACTAAAATCGCTAAATTTGAAAACACACTAAAGTTTAGTGAATGAACCAAAGTAGGACTAATCAACCACAGACTGCTGACAGTGTAGATGCTTTTAAACTGAAAATCCTTTTCTCATGCACCCATACTTAGGTGGGTAACATCCCCTTGTTGGTTTGCAGAATGACATAAGAATGTGTGTTAAGAGTAAAATCTGAATCTGGTCCAGTTATTCACCCCCCCCCCCTTTTTTTTTTAAAGCAGGTATTATTACTTGTCTAAACAAGAAAAACAAATGTGTTATTTGCTATTCGAGCCTCTTACCGTAAGCATCAATTTTAATAACTACACCTGTGCTTTTTCTTACTTGATATGCCAAAATGTGGTTTCTAACAGCCCTGTTATATTTTTTAAATGTTGAAATCTAAATAATAAATAAAGGCAAAAAGAAACTCACACCACAGAAGGTGCTTGGCCAGTGGTGGGTCAGGATCAGTTTGGTCCACATATGTCTGAAATACACACACACACATTAATGTATTAGTGAAGTTGATTGTGTTTATTCATACAGAAACAAAAGGAAACATCATTATATGTAGTTATTAAAGCAAAGATTCATTAGAGCAAATTTGTGTTGCTTTACTTACGGAAGGGAAATCACATAGGAGGATGACAGGTATGCTGCCAGGCAGAGCAGAAGAAGGGAGCAGAGCCTCATGTCTGACCTAAAGGAAGAAAATACATTTGCCAATTAACTGCTGCTTTGAGGCAGAACTCAGTATTGAAAATGTGAACGTCCCCAGGTTTCTATAACACGTCATTAATACAACATTGAAATGAAAAACCAGTGTTGAGTTGGTAAAACAAACAAAAAAAAGACATGATGGTGACTGTGTAAAATTCAAATGCTTTTATGATTATATGAACAATAGCTCCAGAGTAGTTTTGGCAATACAAACTCAAGTTCAAGACCCTCCCAACAATGCAACAAACATATAAATAAATTAAATAGTGCAATATTCCCAATTGATGCATTATTAAAAAGAACATTTCTATAATATAGATTAAAACCTGTGTAATATTATTACAGGGGTTCACTCCAAAGAACATCATGCTCATGTGCACAGTGACTGACAGAGGAGAAAAACAGGTAGTGGTTTTAACTGCGGGAAGTGAGTGGTAATAAAGACTACCTGTGGCAAGGTAATTAAGCAATCAAAATTAACCTTTAACTACGCATTTCCCCCTCAGATACACACACTATAAGAATAATTCTCTACGCATATTTCCAGGGCCAGTTTAGCAAACATTTGGCCAAATAAATGAAATGATATGAGAAATGATCCAACAGCAGCGTTTCTAACAGGATCCGTCAAATTGTGCTCAAATCTTTGTTGTGCTGAAGTTCCCACTCTTATGATAACATAGTCCAGCTTGAGACATTACAACACCAAGAGTTTTCTGAGAAATGTGACACACTTCAGGCAACAAAGACAGCAACAATGTAAACGAGACTTGCAACACAGCAGCACACTGTGTGACATTAACAGGATACAATGCGTAACTTAACGTGTAAGCTAACTAAATCAAGCCTACACTAGGAAAACATTTCGGCAGTAGGAGGTTAAACTTTAGTCAGTTCACGTCAAAAGAATCCTCATTCCACGAACAGCGATATTCAGTTTTAACCGAAAAAGGTAGGATTAAACACATGTAAAATGTGATCTCACCTTGAGCCGGATACGTTGCAATAGACTTTTATGGAAGTTAACTTTGCGCCGCCATGTTAATACGTTAGAAAACTTGACTAGGTTGGTGCATAATAGAGAGTACAAGGGAACAGTCTGTTGTTTATGTCCCAAAGCCGCTTCGCTACCTGCCTGCTCAGCCAATCAGGAGCGTCGTTAACGTCATGCGTCGTCACGTGGTAGAGGCTCGATTTATTGTCCGGCCCTCACCGCCGGCTCCTTGTCCAAAGGCCTTGCGCTGTTGTTTGAAACAAGGTACGCTGATGTGACGCTTTACAATCGTACCTTTTTTAAAGAGAGCTCTCACAGCAGTGTACAATATAAACCATATAAACACTTATAATTATTGTTTAAGGACAGTTCTGGTCACGTGTTACAGGGGGAATTATTATAATAATAATATAATCACGCACATGTTAGTTAGGCCTATCTAACAAAGCTCAACAGAAATCATGTGACCCAAACAGACTGGCAGGTGGTCAGATCCTGGTCAATCCAAGATCAAAATGTAATATGCCTTTAAATAAACCGTATGTGTTTTCATTTATTCATAAATATTCACTTGGACGTCACATTTCCCTTTGTAAATTGCTCTGCACTAACGATTCATAATTTAGAGTTAATTGGACAGGCCTGATTTATTAAATATAATGCCCAGGGGTTTATTTTTAAATGACTCATTATAAGGCAATGTGTAAAATTAAGTACGTCAGGAGACTTAAAGTGAGAGAATAATTCATAATATATCTATGTCTGTGACTCCAGGGAGTTTAATTTTAAAAGTGTCGCCAGAAATAATAAAAACGTATAAAATATCCTACTGAGAGAAGGAGAGACTGATTAAGCAAAACGGTACACATTTTACCAATCTAAAGTATATATTTGTTAATGCTATTTCTTAATCATTTGACTTGGTTGCACCCCTGGCTTACTAATGTCTTACTGTCAGCCAACAACATAATGCACTCAAATTATCACTGGGATTAGGTGTCAGAGTGTAATACCACATGGCCAACAGAGGGCTCTTTCTGACCACAGACAGGCACCCTTCCTGTTTTTAGCACACACACAAACAAAGCAGTAGACAAACCTTACAGAAAAACCACACATCCTACATGGACTGACTGAAAGCTATAAACATTTTGTCTGTGGAACACATTAAAAATGTATTTGGGCATATACACCATGTATAGTTAAGTCATGTGTCTCTATAGATTTCTTACTGCAGGATCCTGTTGACTTCTGACCAATCTTATTGTCTACAGTTTGAACTGTTTCTATTTACTTCATATTTATATATATTTTTTAAAACCATATAATTTGCATATAGGGCATTTGAAATGTAATATTCGATTAAATGGTTAGATTTCGACCCTGTGAGTATGAAAACCCATGGTACACCACTCAAACAATACACACTGTTGTCAAAGCCTCATCCTGCCTCTCCTGCCTCTCCTTTCTGCCCTTTAAATGTAACTCCCATGTTGTCCCATCATATGATTTTGCCTCAGATGTGAAATGTGTTCACAGCCCCTTCACTGTGTCAGGAATAGTCTAGCTGTAACTGTAGCTAGTTTTATAAATAGGCCCTGGCCAACGTTCAGCATGCGGCAAAGTGTCTCGAGACTTTTGCAGATGAGAAAGATCTTAAGAGAGGAAATTAACTACTGTTTGAAGTTAATCTAGTACACTTTAATGTCCGTATGCAACTGCTGTATACTGAATTGAAAATGTTATTTTTAGAATTTGTAAAGGTGCCTGTTCAATAATAATACATTCTTTGAATGTGCTGTCAATTATGTTGTTTTTATTTTTTAATAGATAACCATTCTGGTATGGAAGAATGAAAATGAACAGCCTTGTTGCACCATTGCTCTTGTATAAGTCCAACATATCGCTGCATACTCTGAAGAGCTAAAAATCATTCTTTCCCCCATAACAGATTCTCTGCATTGTCTAGAAGAGCTGGTATACCTGAATTACCAAATGTTAAGCCTCAGTTGTTGAGCTAGTGTGTCAATAAACAGCTATTGGGCAAAGCACTTAAAACTGTAATGGGCAAACTCTGTTAATTTAATAGTTGACTGGTTATAGTGGCCCTAAGTCTTGAAGGATACTGGTTATATATAGGCAGCTCTCTTTCCTTATAAGGCCTCAGGCAGAGGCAGGTGGGGGTCGGTTAGAGACGGCTGATGGTCTTCTTTGGCCTGGTACTTGGTTTAGGCTGACTCCCTGTGGATTCAGGCTAACAACCGAAGTCGCTGCAAAGAAAATCTCAAGGGGTAAGATAACTATAATTTCACGCTCCGTTTGTTTCTAACACCCTTGTATCTTCATCTTTAAATCAGATTTTGTGTGAAACCCAATCGAGCAGGTGGGATCAGTTAGGTGGAGGAATAGAAATACCAGATAAGGGTACAACCAAGAGATGTTGCATGGCCCTTAACAAGAGCTGAGGATTTACAATGTAATGCATGGTAGAACATAAGAATAATGAAGGTTAATTAGGTGCTGAAATGTAATCTTAATATATAAATGACCCACTGTTTTGACGATAGTTGCCTAGTTTGAGACAGGACAATTATACAGCTGGTCTCTGTGTGTTTATCATAGTTAGAATCCTAATTGGTTAAAATGGACTCCCACTGGAGAGTCACATTTGGTGGGAACACTTGGGACCATTGCTTCAGTGCAGAAATAGCTGGTGTGTTGCTCTGGGACTCAATGTGTGGACATTGCTTTGATCATTTCAAAATGAAGGAACTCAAATACAAACAAGCCATCATTGTTCCATTGTATTGCAATTGCCACTAATGAGCACACAGCAAGTATTTGTAACAAAACACCAACCGTTTATGACCAAGCTGCAGAATATTAGAGGTTTTATGGTTTTGGTTGAGAATTTTAGAGGTTTCCTGTTACAGATGCAGAGACTCAGGTGTCATTTCACAGGCATTTGTACTGATTCAGTATGTCGGACTAGAACATGACTTGCCTGCTTTGAAAACTCATGTGAGGGCAGTTGAGTTTAATGCTGATTTTCTTTGGAAACACAATGTCTTCCTAAGTCTGTTGATTTCATCTGATTTTTGGAGTATTTCTCTCAGGGGATCTTCACTTACTCTTTACTTAAAGGAACAATTCCACCATCTCTATCTTATATGTGAATGTCCAGTTTGTGTTAATGATAAATGTATTCATTTTAAGCAATTAATCAATATGTGTCATATTGACCAATTAAAGCTGAGTTTGCAGCTGCAAAATCTGTTGTTCCTCTTGCATCAAGCAGTGTCATTTGACGTGGCGTAGTTAAAAGGTGAATTTCTCCACCTCTGGATAGCCTGAGGGTGCAGGTGCTCAAAATCAGAACTGCTTATCTCTCTTGTTCTATTTTTTAAATGAAGAACAAAAAAAACTGCATTTATTTTTGCTTGTATTGCAAACTAGCTACATTTCCAACAAAATCCCCAAATATGGGTGCAGAGTCTGTTTTTGGGAGAGGACACATTTTACAGGGTTTTTTGCGGACCCAGATCTTCAGCTGTATTTATTTGGGCTAGAGGATATGGTCAAAAATTGCAGAGGAAAGAGGCTAAGTCAGCTGGTGCATTAGCAGTGCAAGAGGAAGTGACCGGCCGTGACACTTTGGGCATCAGAAACAGTGCTTCCTGATACATGAAGGCACTTTTCTTGGTCAATATATTATGCACTGGTGATTTTATTGACATTTGCCATCAACACCGATTGGACATAAAAGGTGGCAAAGTGGTAAAGTGTTTGGCAGGCTGGTTCACTGACCCTTAAGTAACTTTGGGGCTTTTCCACTACTACAGCTACATTATTCAACCGGGGATTTAACTGTTTTTATTTTCTTCAGGGGACATGTGTCCATCTAATTGATGTGATGCTTGATTGTCAGTTTTTGAGCTAGACGTGACTTAAACATGCAAGGCAAGTGTTTCAGAAAAAAGCAGAAGGGAAAGTCTTTGCCAGTAGATCATGTCTCAGTAGCTTTCAGGGTGAGGTTGGGCAGGGAGAATCGCTTCATGTTTCATCTGACCTTATTTATAGTCTCTGAGGACTTAGTGACGTAAGGAAATTGTTCCACCGCCGCGTGATGTAAGACAAAGTTATGTTCCTGCTTTGGTATGCGTACTGTAAAAAGTGTTCATGTCTGATGTTATTGTTTATGCCACGTGATATGTGTGTCAGTGTTTCCCCTACTTAATTTATTTGTTTAAAAAAATATTTGTGCCATTTTATATCACAGGATATGACATGTGCCCAATAGAAAAACTTTTATGATAACGCCTATTATTTTACGCTCACATTGAGTAACATTTGAATGTTTATTTTAGTATTGTGTCAATCTCTTGACACAATAGTTTATTATGTGTAAAATATGGGTAGTCACAGTTCACCAATGTGTCTAAAATTGTAATACATATACTGTATTATGTGCTCTGAATTTGGATCTGTCAAATTGTTAGACAGTCTTTGGTGCAGCTGTACTGTCAGTTACTCATTGTAAACATTACTGTTCCAACAATAGTCTACATGCCTTTTGTTTTCTTGGTGAACACATGTGTCTGTGTTAACAGTGTCTTTAAATCAATGTGTCACCTTGTCATTCCTGAAGCAGTAAAAGCTGTGTGTGCATGTGTGTGTGTGTGTGTGTGTGTGTGTGTGTGTGTGTGTGTGTGTGTGTGTGTGTGTGTGTGTGTGTGTGTGTGTGTGTGTGTGTGTGTTTCATCTCTTTCCTTCTTCGCATTTTTCTTCATTAAAGCAGCATCTCCTTCTAGAAGTGTCTTTGACAGGGTTGGTAGCCCTTGTGTTTGTATATGTTTGTGTCACTGCGTTGTTGGTCCGATATGTAATTGTGGATCCACTCTGTTACAATGTCAGTGAGTGTTTGTTTGTTGCTGGTCCAACAGGTCAGTATCTACTTTGTCACCATGTCAACGTGGATGAAACGTGGGGCTTACGACCACGAGTACCACCACAAACAGAGCAAATATGTGGTTAAAGAGTACAGCAGGTACATGTTACACTGTAATGCTAATCCTACCTAAAAAAATAACAGTAGTATTGTAACAGTAGTGTGGACTCGGTTAATATAGTAAGT